GGGTTGAATTTTTTATTTTATTTTTCCCGAAAAACGTCGCCTCCTCGACACCTATGTGCGAAACGTCGAGGGGGTGGTTGCGGAGAAGGATTTTATACAAAAGGTGTAGTTCAACACGTCAAAACCCGCACCGGTTGGACATGGAGGGGGGTAAAATCACTCACAAAATGCACCCCCTACAGGATGTTCTTACTAGTGAAGCTAGCGCACGCGGATAACTTTGCGCTGAACGTTGATGTCTCCCCCCTCTCTGACGATGTGCCGAAATCCGCAGCGCCAAATATGTTGGCATCGGCACTGGGCACGGTTCTGGGCGACAACCCTGCTTGCACTGTCCTTAATTGCTATGAATGCGACCCAACGGATGGCAACAAGTGTACGCGCTGCAGTCTTGGGTATACACTGAGTACTCGAAGCACAGCTTGCGTGCATCCTAAGATGCTTCTCCAGTCTCAGTACCCTTGTATGTGGGAGTTCTATCTGTGCTAGCGGTGATAATACTGCTTTAAACCCTATAGTTATTTGGGTGAGGTTCTGCACTAGATACTGAACTTATTCCAAGCATCCCCGCCACATACTGTGACTAATCTTCATTTCATAAAGCTTTTTAGTACAACGTTCTAATTTTCCTCTGTCATTTCAATTTTCAACAAATTTTCACGCATTGCGCAGTATTGATGGGTTTTTTTAAAAGTCTCACCCCTCTATCTTTGAGTAATGGTAAATCAGTACAGTTGAGATATTTTCTCATTTATTTTCTTTATTACTTTATTGTGAACATTACATAATAATGAAGCGGCTATTAAGACAGTAGAATATAGCAAGTAACTACAAAGAAAACACGGTGTACTTAGCATCATTAGCTCTACCTTTTCCATCACTAACACACGCGAACCTCTTTTCTCTACTTGTTTTCTTTTCCTTACATTGTTATTAGTTTCACATCCCGAATATTCGCTACACTCATACCCGCTTACTTACTTTCAGCACCATAAATCAGAAGCTGACTCACTAGTAATCAATCCAAACACCTACCCTACTACAAACAGACGCACCTCTTCTTCCCCTGTCACTGCACCTTTCATATTCTACAGTCATAATGCGCACCCAAACCACATGGATGGCGCTTTTCTGCGCGATGCTCTTACTGATGAAGCTAGCGCACGCGGATAACTTTGCGCTGAACGTTGATGCCTCCTCCCTCTCTGATGATGTGCCGAAATCCGCAGCGCCAAATATGTTGGCATCGGCACTGGGCACGGTTCTGGGTGACAACCCTGCTTGCACTGTCCCTAATTGCAATAAATGCGACCCAACCGATTCTAGCAAGTGTACGCGCTGCTCTGCAAGATACAGTTTGAAAGAAGGCGTATGTGTACAATGTACTCTCAAATATTGCAGAACATGCAGCACCGATGCTAACAAATGTAACATCTGCAATACCGGATACGGTGTGAAAGATGGCGCATGTGTACCATGTACTGACAAAAACTGTGACTTATGCAGCACTGATGCCACCAAGTGTACGATCTGCTATCGAGGATACGGTGTGAAGGATGGCGTATGTGTATCTTGTACTGATGAAAACTGTATATTTTGCAGCACCGATTCAACCAAATGTTCTATATGCAATAACAGATACGCTGTGAAAGAAGGTGTATGTGCACCATGTACTGATAAAAACTGTAACTTATGCAGCACCGATGCCAAGAAGTGTAAGATCTGTAATACCGGTTACGTTGTGAAAGATGGCGTTTGTGTACCATGTACTCACCATAATTGCATAAAATGCAGCACCGATGCTAACAAGTGTACAAACTGCTCTGCAGGATATGGTATGAAAGATGGCGTATGTGTATCTTGTACTGACCTAAATTGTGATATATGTAACCCAACTGATGCTACCAAATGTTCAAGGTGCAATACCGGATACGGTATGAAAGATGACACATGTGTACCATGTACCGACCATAATTGCATAAAATGCAGCACCGATGCTAACAAGTGTACAAACTGCAGTCTCGGGTTTACGCTGAGCACTCAAGGCAAAGCTTGCGTAAAATCCCAAGGCGCCTCGCGAGTTTCGGGTCCCCTGTTTGTGGGAGTTCTATCTGCGCTTGCTGTCTCAGTGCTGCTTTAAACCCTACATAAAATTGGGTGAGCTGTCCCTAGCTGGCACTGAGCTTCTTCCAAGCATCCCTACTGCAAGGTGTGACTAATATGCATTTCACATGCCTTTTGAGTACAGCGTCCTAATCTTCCCCCATCTTTTTATTTTTCACACACTTTGTGCTGTTTACATTGTGATCTCTTGCGTTGGAGTACCACCCCTCTAGCGTTGATTAATGGTAAATCAGTACAGTTGAGATATTTTCTCATTTATTTTCATTATATGATTATTTTGAACATTACGCAATAATGAAGCGGCTGTCTAGGACAGTAAAGGATACCAATAATAATCATTAGGGAAACATAGTTTAGATTGAGTCGTCGAGCAGTCCATAATAATTTCTACTCATACTGCCTTTTCGTTGTATGTGTGTGCTTTCTCCCGCTCGAATGTCAAATTTCTAGTTTTTAATAATCGATAATTCAGTATTTATTA